TGAACTTACAGTACAACTCACAAGACCTCGTCATATTGCCGGTTTCAATTTAAAATGGCATGGTTATGTTCATATGATAACAGTACAAATTGGATATATATAATGCTGTGATTGAGAATTGTGAAGTGCATTTGGAGGATATGATGTCAACAGTTTGATTTGCTTCCATGGACATTGGACAATAAATTGTATTGAATAACTGAAACAGACTGAGCAAGCTGTTGAATATTCCCACCATCGGGTTGTCTTTAGGAAAATACTGCTGTGCTGTATTAAAACTACTGGTTTACAGTGTACTGGCATCACATGAAAATATTCAAAACTTCCTGAGTCGATGTATTTTCCAAACGACTATACCAAAACAATATGGCTGAGTAGAAAGTTAACGTACAGTCTGATCCTGTACAGCGCACGTTGTAAAATCATGTGGACAACTCATTCTTTTTTAGATTATGATATACCTATAAACTGTCTGTGCCAATGTAGATAATGCCAATGTAAACTTGCTGTAGTGTGTGGGTATTTTACTACCTGAAAAATAAGCACAAACTCTGAAAAGAAACTCGATTGCCATTAAAGAATAAAAACTCTTTTTCGACCACCCCCTTTCGCATCAGATTACGACACAATTTTTCTAATATAAATATCTCGGCGAGTATTTACCCCCCTTGTAAATAAAAGCCACCATTGAAATCCTAATAAAATAACCTTTCGAACGGGGGGTCAAGTGCCGTCAGAGCATTACACAAACCGAAACAATCATATATTTACTCACCGCTTGGCCAAAGATTCTAGATTTTATATCTACAAGATCTTGAATATCTCTTGAACTTTTCGTCATTTTCTGAACGGCTATATGTGTAAAATACTCTTTGTATCCAAGCGCTTTCGTGTAGAAAGTTTCGTATGTATACGCCGACTAGAAATATTTATTTTGAATTTTTCAAGATATCGGGTTTTACTCGCACTTGCAAACATTGCGCAATAATTGGCCAATAAGAAGCTCCTGTTGGCCGGTATGACGTCAAACTCACGCGTGTAGGTGCAATTTGACCTTGCGAATCCATTTCTGGCCTTTCCAGGGTCATATGATACAAACGTCGCATTGTTTTGACGGTTTTCAGGCGTATTTCCGGTTGGGATTAACTCACTTCGAGCTCACAGTCGGACAAGAAATGGAAATATACTGATAAAAGATACAGATTTGAAGATACAGGCTTGCAAATAACACTCTAAATAGTGTTTTTGATGGGGATTCGAACAAGACTATTACAAAGACGATATGTGCGAAGGGGCCGAAGTTATTTTCAGCGAAAAGTATGGCTAGTCTATATTTTGTTCAGACAATTGCGTTATTTGATACAATATTATCGTGTTTGACTTTCAAAAGCCCATAAATCGTTACAATGTTAATAATGACTATAACTATCGTTTGGAACTAGTCTATCTTTTATTTCTGAATCGATTGGTGGTATTTCTGTCTTCATAGCATGCACTGAACCGAAGGTATGAAATTTATAGCCGTCGATCGCTCAGGATCGATACAACTGGGTTGTGATGCAAAAGAGTTTTAAAGAATAAACTAACACGTATTTTCCAGTTAGTAAAAGCTGACATTGGAATATGTGGATATAATAAATCAAACATATAGTTTTAGTTCTCTTAAGCCATTTGTATTATTATGTATATATTAATTAAAATTACTCTTACTAATGGACTGTACTACAAACAATAATGGACTGGACTGTACTACTGCCCTCCCCCTTGTGAAAATTCTGACCGGTACAAACATGTGCATTATATAAAAATAGGTACGCGACGCGTACATGTATCTGCGAAAAAACTTGATTCTCATTTTCATCACTTATTATAATAAATATAATAGCAAATAAGATTTTAAAGTCAAACATAGTACAAATCTAACAAGGCTGTAGACAGCACAGAGGGCAGCGGGGGCAACTCAACCCCCCCCCCCTCGAAAATTTAACTAATTTTATGTGATTATGATTGTAACTCGGATAATTATGCAGTCAAAAAATAAAAATTTCATGCAAACAATATTCGCAGTGTCTATTTAGTAAACTGTCACTTGTCAATCCATACCCATTTTGAAAACTTTATTGTAATCATATGAAGCAAAAGTTCTGTCACTTGTTGTTTACACTTGCCAACGTTAACTGTTGAGTAACATACACAAACTATTCGAGGAACATGCATTAATACTGTAGCATGCAAAGAGTCCATCATATATCGAAGACCACTGAATAGTAGAGAATGTTTTAAAGGTCATGAATGAAGTATATAATTAAATTCCAATATTGATGCAAAGAGTCCATCATATATCGAAGACCACTGAATAGTAGAGAATGTTTTAAAGGTCATGAATGAAGTATATAATTAAATTCCAATCCTGTGCACAGTTAATGATCATGATATACCACACTGTTCGGTTTAACACAACATATCCACACAAAAACAATTTGTGTTGTGGGAGAATATTGATTTGAGTAGAAGGTATCACAAGTTCAGTTTTGTGTATATTGTGTGCCATTGATCTGACCATCCATATAATATAGGATTATTGTAGCTGTTAAGTTATTACAGTATCCATACCATTGATACTTATGAATTTAGGTAAGATTGTCTTGCAAGTTGGTTGTTCTGACAAAATTATCTAGCCAATATCCAGTACATTTATTCATCATTCTTGCATTAATCTCTAGACAAAAACATTTATGTTAGAAAGCAAAATAACAATGTAATATTAAAGGAGGGAGGGTGGGGATTCTTTTATTAGCATTTGAAAATGTTTGTAAAAATTTTGTTTAATTATAAACTCTATTAAATGTGTAAAACCAAGATGTATAAGTATTGTAAACTGATAACATCTTTAACCTCCAACACTACATTTGATGACAGCTTAGTTGGACTGTTGTTTTGAGTTTATACAGAAATATACGACCAGGATTTAATTCAATAATTCCCGAGACCATTAGTTTCCTTTGGTATTGTTCATTGGCAATACTGCCTGCTATGTTTTGACTGTTTAAAATATTAGAGAAGTCACAGAAGGATTGTTTTACTGTATAAATCTTTTTGTGAACTATGTTGACAAATGGCTTAAAATATCCTCGAAAATATCCAATATTTTATACAGTGTAATATATTAATAAAAAATTCCAGAGTGCATTTCATGTACACAGTCTCTACGCCGAAGATACGGCAATATTAACTATAGATAGTATACAGTAATTTGCCGAACTCATGTATTAAATATGTGGGATATATATTTGCACAAATTTGGTATTTAAATCTATAATATATGGTATTTGACTACTTACCAGATGAGGATAAGATTCCATGTTGATAAATAACTTCGGAATAATATCGCAAGTAGAGAAAACAAGACAGCCAATTCAAGGCAGATACAAAAATATCAAGATATTTTTGAAAGAATAACACGATTTATACACGAGGCCTGACGAGGCTAAAGTATGCCCGTTCGCAGGTTAGATGCGGGCACGATGTAAACAATTGATGTAAACTGATCGCTGATTGGCTTAAATTGGCATAAATTGGCTGAATTATATAAGCCCGTCGCTGAATGGCTAGGGATACGGTACGGTACGGTACGTTTGCGATAGCATATATATCTGCTTCCCAGATACAAAAAACGTTCATTGTACTATATATATTATCCTTGGATAGTGTTAGAGTCCAAATACATCTTCACATAATAAACAAACTTTATTAGAACTAGTGAGCTCAATATCAAACAGAAACATCGACTCAACATGACGGGATAGGACGTAACTTTGGGCTTTTGTGCAGAAGTACAAATTAATCCAGTTCATATAGAGATCTTTAATTCAATCACTGGATTTGATCAAGGCATCATGGGTAAGCTTCGGTTCGAAGCCCCGTCCGCCCTTTTCGAATGAGCACATGCTTTGTTACAGTAACGCGATATAAGCACGAACCATTTTCATCGAAAAGAACCTTTTATGGTGAGTTGTATTGTCTTCATTGTTAATATCTTTTTGTTTTTACGATTGCTTGTAATTAATAACTACTAGGAATCACGATTAGACGTAGTAAACTCTTTTTTTTTCATTTGCGGAATATTTTCACAGTATGCGGCCATGCGGCGGCAGTTGTACTCCGACTCCGTGTTCGAAATTGTAGTGCTAACGACAAATCCACCTATTGTACAAGTTTTCAGGTATAAATTTATTTTAATGATAAAGTTCTCATTCTTTTTAGATGAGTCAAGAACACCAAGGAGCTTCAGGTATGTTTTTCGTATATTTTAAAGGATTTGTGTTTTAGCCTTATTAAATATGCATTTTACATATGGCATTGCCGGGTTTTTTATTGTTTTTGCTCATCCAAAACAGTAACAAATAAGGATAAAAATTACTGATTTCATATCTCTCTCAGAAAAATCAGGTAAAGAAGTAAGGATTCGTAAGGGATGGTTAGGATGCTGTCTGTATATGATGGAATGACGAAGAAAACGTGCTTGGCCGTTAGCATGAATTTGACCACGGAATACCTCTGACCCTGCCCTGTCCGACATCAAAAATCTTGATCGAAATTCCTTTATTCCTTCTTTATAGAACAAATAAATCTGCCCGTCTTCTAGTGATTTGAAAAAAAAAGGCAAAAAAATGTCCAGTTGTTTCAAGAAAGCAAATTTTCCATTTAGATATAGATGTTCCTATATCACATTCTGCCATACAAATTACCAAAAGGGGTAATATCAAAATCCTCCAACTAACATAAAACCACCATACAGGACATATTAAGAAGCGTTTCCCATAACAATATATAAACATCCTGTACCATTAATTAAACAACAAAAGGCAAATCACAGGTGAATTTTTGAAGTCAAAGCCAAAGGAACAGCCATGATAATGTTATCACATTGTTCTCTATTATATGAGCTTGCAATGTTTAAGAAGTGCACATTAATTAATTAAATAAATAAAATGCCATGACAATCTGGCCTCATACCATCCTCTCTGATAACAAATTGTTATAGATGCATTATCATACACTGTGTTCCACTACCAATGTGTAAAAATGTAATTGCTGTTGTGGAACAACTATGACCTATGTTGCTCATTCTTTCAATATCCTAGGCGTAAAAAAATACTTGTGCTTCCGGTTCCCGACTGACCCTATTTTTTTTCTGCCGACCCTATTATTTTTTCAATGCGAGTGACTGTGCGACCCTATTTTCTCCAGGTGGGTTGCAGGCTGCCCATACACCGCGCCAAATGGCGTCTGTTGTCACACTAATTAATTGTTGAAACAAATTACCTAAATTCGTCCATAGGAAATATGCATTTCTAGTTAATATTGATGTCGGGACTCTCTACTGCAAATCGCCCAGCAAAAAATGCCAAAACCATGAAAAAAGTATTTAAAAAAATTAATTTCCAACCTACCAACCCTAATTTTTTCACGATATGAAACAAGAACCACAAGGTTTTTTTACGCTCTACCATCATATGTTCAAATATCTAATAAATGTCACAGTTTAATCTGTGATAAAAATAGTTCTTGGAGACTTAAAAAAGGTTTTTCTGCAGCTACGTCAGGTTTCTCTGCAGTTAACAGCTGTCTGAGTCTCTTTTCACAAATCAAATAGATTGTTCGGACATTTTCTCTAAAGTACATTAGCAATTGGCTAAAGCAAGAGTTGTTTATTGTTATTCATTGTTGTTTTCTGATTATATCATATCAACATTAATGTTTTTTTATAATTATACAGGCGATGCAAGTGATGATGGAATGGATTGCTACCTGCATAGCATTTCTACGGTGCAAAAAGCACAATCGTCAAACAGAAAGTATTTTAATTGCATTGTGCAGGGCAATGACAGGCCTGTGAGAGCAGTTTGCTACTCGCCAGAAAAAAGGGCAGAACTTAAAGCCCTAGCTGCAACAAAAAGTCCAGTTAAAATGAGAAATTTCAAGCAAGCTGACACATCTGATGATATCATCATTACGAAATGGACGAAGATGACCCCATTGGAAAAAGATCAAATCACATTCCCATATTCTGACGAATTGGCCGCCAGCACAAGTGGAGAACCAATTAAATTATCTGCTATCCATAACCTCGCTGGTGAGCAACTGATATGCGTAAGAGGTGAAGCATCAAGCATATCTGGCATCAAAATGGTAACAACACAGTATTCAGGCAGCACCCAAAAGCAAGAAGTAATAATCAGAGATCCGACTGCTTGTGTAAAGGTAGTCCTTTGGGGAAGGTATGTAAATTCCCTTGAAATCAATAAAACATATCTTTTCAAAAATCTCCGGGTGAAAGTTACCAAATATGAACGCTACCTGAATACCCCACGTAAAGATGACTTTACTGCGACACAATGCCAAGAGTTTGATACCCCTCTTGTGCCACTGGAAGAAGATGTAAACACCATCTCAACTTTCTCTGGCTCTATTCTTGGTGTACAGAAAGCCTCCAAATCCCTTGCATGTGTAGGCTGTCATAAAAGGTCTGTCAATGTAGAGGGAAATAAAGCTGTGTGCCAGGCATGTGACCTTTCCCAGATCGCAACACGATGTCCCAGCTTCTGGTCAGTCCGATTGTTAGTGAAACCAGATGAATCGTCCAAAAATGTCCGTCTGATTCTTCCCAGTCATATGCTAGAGAAGTTTGTTGCCATCACTGGTTCTTTAGTGGAACTGGACACCATTTCAGAGGAAGATTTGGTTTTCTCAATACTTGATTGCTGTTGCAAAAAATTTGATTTTACATATGACAACATTGGAAATGAGATTACTAACATATCACTTAGTTAGTACCATATATTACATGGCTGCATGCCTTTGTTATTTATGCTCCTCATAAAATTTGTGCTTCTCAAATGTTCTGAAGCACTATGGACTTCAATTCAAATTAGTTTGTATTGACTTTGTGTTAACATTTCAAAGACTTATGTCTTCTTATTATAGTATGAAGCACTATGGACTTCAACTTAGATTACTATTAGCCATTGATATTAGGTATTTACATAATTACATGTAGGTTATGTTTAGGTTATGTTTTGTCACTATTTATAATGGGGAAGTAAAGGTTAACTATTGATATAATTAGCATTAAATAGCAATAAATAGCGCTAGCCTGTTAGCCATGCTATTTGTTACTTACCTTGCTTTTAATAATATACAATTTAGTTCAGTTTCACATCCCCAACAGAGTAACAAAAGAAAGCTCTGCTTGTGTTAAGAAAAAATAAGATCTTCCAAAATTCTATACTTTCTGTAATATATATTCCCTTTGTGTTATATTCAAATAAATTAAAACTTGTTTTATTGCAGATTGCAGTATAAACATTTAAACAAATATTAACATTTGAATTCAAGCTGGTGAACTGTCATCCTCGTCCCCAGGACCTCTCGGCCGCGTGCGTCCTCCCCAGTCCTAGGCCCTGGGACACACGGAACCGGAAGTGCAAGAAAACTTGCAGTAGTTTCTAAAGCGCATGCTCTTGAAATGGGACACTTTAGCACCCGTAAGAATTTTCACAGTGAAGTATTAAGAAGAAACGAAGTATTTGTGTTGACATATGTTGATAGAATAATTTTGCCCAGCGAAAACTGCTCAACTTCTGCGACATAGCAGTTCTCTGAGAAGCCAATCAGATCTCTTCCTTTAGTCGTCTATCCCAGAGCCTAATTTTCAACGAGTGACCGAGTGAAAATGGCTCTGGGGACGAGAATGGTGAACTGTATAAAAACCATAGAACTTGCTGTCTTGCTCAGTCAACCAGGTTGACTCTGAGGTTGACCGGTGTAGCCTGCGTCACTGCGTGGCAGGCTCAAGGGAGAATATTAGCCTGCCTCCTGCAAATATATGTACGGCAGCACTTCACTTGCGATAGTAACTTCTAGTATAATATATTGTAGGCCGGTTAGGATGGCATAGCATACTATGAATCTCAGGGCAAGCGAAAACGCGGATAGAGACTAGAGTCGTAGGATATTTACTTGTACTAAATCTCCAAGTGTAAAAAGTTCCCTAACATACGTAACTGAGTGTCAGTTTAATTTACAGTCTTAAAATACAGGAATTGACTAATAGACACACGTACGTTGAAATATTATTTATAGCTATGACTTCATGCAAGGCCTACATTATTTTGTTTGTATTTTTGTCATTTTGATCACAGGCGGCCCAATCTTAACCCTGGGTGCCAGAGGTTCCTCCACGCTCGTAGGGGGGATAATGAGGGATACACGAGGATTCAAGCTGGGAGGTGGCGAGCGGGAAGAACCTCTGGAACACTTCTATGGTTTCTCAGATCGAACCGCACCAATCACGATGCTTAATAGTGTGAAGTGATCCAGAATCTGGATCACAGTGTTAATTGGTTAACAGGGACTTATTAAAACAATGACTTTCATTGGCTGTTTGAAACGTATGTCCTTCAAGATATTATCGTTCGGAATCCGTACAGGCATACTATAATAATATAATAATATTATATTTATAACATAGTCAGGCGTAAATATATATGCCTCTAGTTTTGCGAGTCTTGCGAGAGGATTTCAACAACTTGGTCGCGGTTTATTCGATTTTGAATTTTTTTACTGGACTGTGTTACGAAACTCAATAAACATCAAGATGATGCCTTGTTTCTGTGTTTCAGTTAATGCATCGCCGTGATATGTTTGCTATATTGCGAAGAGGGAATTTCGTGTGCGTGGCTGTCTAGTAATCAAGCATATATGTCAAGACAAGATGGGAGTCTTTATAGGCCTATTTATATCGAGGCGAATTACCCGGCAAGTCGAGTTTATTATACTCGTCAACGACAAGATCCCAGCTATATTATAGAAACTTATACAGTAGTAAACCCGGGGGACTGTTTACATGTAGTAAAGAGTATAAACTCGCCAGTGACGAGTTCGCGGCAGAAAGAGGCGAGATATTGCCTTAGGCGAGATGAATAGTTACCATATTAAACAAAAGATGTTCGGGTATTTGTTAACTCGGCCGCCCGAGATCGAATGTATGTGTATAAATGTATGTGCTTTGCATTTGAAATATAATATATTGTTCAAAAATACATACGAATCATTAGATAAGTTTTATTCGCCAATTGCAGAGTAACTCGCCTCCATATAAACATGGCCTTGGACGGCAAATATTCGTTTGTATTATGTAATGAACAAGGAATGCTTCAAAGTTCAATCTACCGAGGCGACGATCCTTTTATTGTATAATACTAAAATATCCACTGTGAATAACAAATTCACCACAAACTCGACAATACACGTCTCCGCTTTTTTGTAACACTTTTAACAGGTGTACGGTCTAATGCCATGTGGCCATATAATATTATTCGGTTTATTTTACTATAAAGAGTCGCTAATTTTAATTTTTTGTTTTGAAATTGACACATTCTGTCGCAATTTCCATCGCTCAAATGTTCGGTTGAACACGCTCAAATCATCATCAGTCAAAAATAAATACGTGTCCTATTGGCTAACGTTTGATTGACATGTGACATTTAAAACAGTAAAAGCCATAGAAGTGTTCCAGAGGTTTTTCCCGCTCGCCGCCTCCCAGCTTGAATCCTCGTGTATCCCTCATTATCCCCCCTACGAGCGTGGAAGAACCGCTGCCACCCAGGGTACCCAATCTTACCCTGTGTTATTAATTTATTACGTTATATCTTTATATAATAGTATAATGAAAAGCACTTACATGTGTTTCCTGAAAGATTTTAACGAGAACCGGCCAAGATTGGCGTTGACAAGAGGTTAACGGCCTTAGTTGGGGTTGACATGAGGATTAACAGCAGGAAATAATACAAGGCTGGTCACTTTGACCGTTAATTATTGGACTATTTGGGACAAACGCTGACAGAAATCAATCGAATAACGCGAACTTCGGCTGTCGCGTCGTCGCCAAATTACGTTACATCGGAAGAGCGATAATTTTCACATAAAATACTTTTCTTAAACAGAATTTAACAATAATCTTCCTGCAGAAAATGCCAATTGAAACTTACAAATGTCTAATCTTCCGAGGTTTGTGACTGGTATGAATTCACGGCCTTCAAATTCGAATTACACACTGCATTGTCATTGGTCGGCTTTCAAAACAACAACAGGACATTCGCAGAGGCCATTCACTAACTCCCCAAACGTTCGCTCTCTTACCGGAAATATCCTGTTGTTGTTTTGAAAGCCGACCAATGACAATGCAGCGTGTAATTCGAATTTGAAGGCCATGAATTCATACCGATCACAAACCTCGGAAGATTAGACATTTGTAAGTTTCAATCAGCATTTTCTGCTAAATTCTGTTAAATTCTGTTGTTTTGTTAAATTCTGTTTTTTAATATACTATTTATATAAAGATATAACGTAATAAATTAATAACACAGGGTAAGATTGGGCCGCCTGTGATAGCTTAAGATCCACGACGTCGACGTCAGCTAGGACGTCAGGGCGAAGCAAAGGCCTGAGAATAGGACGTCGTCCAAAATAAGTCAAATAAGTCGATAGTTCAAGTATCTACGACGTCAAATATTTAGGGCGGCAAGCGGAAGTAAATTGGTAATAGTTTTTGAAGTGTGCATGTGTCTCTCTCTTTTGCTCGCCGTCCGCCAAACGTTGACAACCTGACAACAAGAGTTTTACCGTCGTAAATACAAGAGAACAGCAAACGGTAATAGTTCGCACGTCTCTTTTAAATTCATTTTTAAAAGGATTTAAATATTTATAGTTTAAATGTCTACGTCGTGAATCTTAAGTGGAAGTTTATTTATTTAGGACGACGTCCTAGTCCCAGTCCTCTGTTTGGCCCTGACGTCCCACTGACGTCGACGTCGTAGGTCTTAAGCTATCTATTACAGACCAAAAGCCGGCCAAAGGTCATGTTTTCAATAACAAACAAAGATAGCCATCTATTCTCAACAAATAAGAAGGTTTTTTTGGGGGTTTTTCGGGCAAATGTTTGTTAATTTGAAACTGATTTCAGTTCGTAATTTATAGTAAGAATCGGCAAGTCAGAATAGTATTAAGAAGCATATTGTTTTCCAGCAATAATTTCATCCCTCCCCCCGGTAATTTTTTTTCGAATTTTTAACAAATTAAGAATTTTTAGTGTTCCGGTGTTCCGTGTTCCGGAATGATGCTGTTCTGGTGTTCCGGTGTTCCGGTGTTCCGTTGTTCCGGTGTTCCTGGTTTTACTAATTGCCGGTCATTAACTCCTCTTGACCTATTCTAATGCTTTGCTAGGTCTCTAATTACTAACCATTATATCTTTAATTTACTAATATTTTTAATGATAGGTTGTTTTTCATCCCTTCCTCTTATTCGTAACCGTTTAAAATGTAACCGTTTAAAATTTGTATATATATAATACATCCTTATAAATAAGTTTAATTGCTCTGAAGATGTTGTGAACAATACATCGAAATGTTAGCCAATAAATTTTATATTTTTGTTATGTCTTGGCTGCAGGGACGCCGGAACACGATCCGCTCTACAGTTTCAGATTCAAGTTTCAGATTCAGATTCATATTTAGATTTGAATATGAAACGGGGGTACAAAATGTGGAATTGCTCTGTCACTTTTCACGGAATAATCGTAATTGATCAACGACATCCATTATCAGACTATTGCGCATTTGACAAAACTTAAACTATACTTTAATTTTTAGCTCATAACGTGAAGCCAGGAAAAATCGCAGAAACTACACGATCAACGCATGAATTCTTACTGTGCCATGTTTGTCTTGACCTGTCGACAAATTTATATTTCGCTTTGTATCGTAAAATACGCA